TATTCTTTTGTATACAGTTTTTATTTTTATATTATTAAAATTAAAAACTGAATGCTTCATAAACATTTGCCCCAAGTGTTTTAAGTTCACTATTTGTTACAAGGTATTGTAGTAAATCATTTTGAAAGTCTTTTGATGTTTGTTTATCTGGTATTTGTCCATTTATAATTGGTATTATTTTAGCCATTGGCATTGAAACTTTGTTAATATTAGTAAATAAACATGACTCATCCTTTATGTTATTCTGATTTGATGTTCCTGGTACAGAAATACCATTTTGAGTAACTTTACTATTTTCTATTGTAGGTAAACCATCAAAGAATAAAGCAATGCGATCCATTAATAAACTAAATCCTTTCCTAACATTACTTTGTGTCAAATTTTGTACTTCTTCACTTTCCAGAAGATCTAGGGTTTCATCTACTAATTTCAACAGTATATGTGAGTTGTGTTCTTCAGAGGTTTGATTTAGCATATATTCAGCAAGATTTTTTAAAGGATCCCTTGAACTATCTGTAGACATAGAAGATGTTAAAGCCCAGTATATTTCTTCTATATCTCTTAAAGTCAATTCATCTTTCAAAGATATTGAAGCTGTTATTTCTGCAACTTTATCTTTTATAAGTAAACTCAACTCTTTGATGCCATCATATATGAAGTTACGTGAAATTGACATGTATTTAGTCTGTGTAACATTATCTGTAGTTGTACCAGTAGAATTCTGAATATCCTTGTACGCATGACCACCCATTACATTAAACTGAATCCTTAATAAAGTTGCTAACATAGCATAGGAATAAACTATTACTGCAGATCTAGTAATTGCTAAAACTTTCAGCTCATTCCAACATGCTACTTTATCAGGGCAACCACTTCTAAGTTTATTTACAATAACTTCAGTATCCAAAATTTTTATTATAGAATCTCTTAAAGTTGATATGAGGGACATTATAACCTGACTGCATGTTCTTTCTGTACATTGAAAGTATTGCCATCGTTTTGATCTTTCCAGCATATCTTTTATCTCTTTTTCTTGCCATTCTCGAAGTTTACGTGCTGTATGTCTTATGAAAGCAACACCACCAACAATGATACCTCCCACTATAAACTTTCGTCTATGACGACTTACAAACCCACGAATGCTTGAGAACATTTTTTAAAATAAATTGTATGAAATATGAGATATGAAGTACTATATAATATATATCATAAATAGTGACAATATATTTGTATGGGGATAATTGTGAGTTCTCTTGATTATTAAATAGTTTGCTCTACATCCATTTTCTTAGGATTAACTAAAACCATATTTCTGACTCTATATGCCATAAAATTGTTTATATCAATAAAACAGTTTAGACAATTCACAAGACAATCGTGAGTTCTTGAATCCAACGAACGGCCAAGTGTTTCAACACAGAGTTCCCAACAAATTTCAGTTAATTTCTGTGCCAATGTCTGAAAATAAACAAAAATATATTTAATATGTTAATATTAATAAAGTTATATTTACACATGTTTTGTATATTGAGTAATTTATTTAAAGAATTATCTCTTTATTTGCAAAGAAGTATGTGCATATTTGTGTGTAATGCGAAATATTAATACATATTATTACCATATTGCTAAAAAATATGATTTAAGTACAGTCACACATTTTTAGAAAAAAAAAAAAAAAAAAATGGTAACTATTGTTATGTACAGTATTAAGTCCATCAATATTTTGTATACTCTATATAATAATAAGTACTATCGTGAATAATAATAATTTCATGGACGTATGAATTGGAGAATTCTTTATGAGCCGTAAACGGATAGTAATTTTAAAGCTAACCTGAAACCGTTGATTTTTCCTTTCTGGCTCTATGAACGCTTGAAATTGCTCGTCGACCGCACCTTTCGACCTTTGCTCCTCCATAAATCTCATTCTTTAATTCTCACCGTGCTTTTCACAGTGAAATAATGGAAACATTTGACCTTTATACCATTATCATTCTTAGGAGTCTTATCGGCTTTTACATGGGTTAACGGTTATTAAGGACCGTATAAAATTATAACTGCATTGGTTAGTTTTACTGGAAAAACTGGAATTAATCGGGACAAGTTAATAATGACAAAATTCCAGATTAGCATTAAATTTTATACTCATAAAATGAAAATTGGATATTTTTCATACAGTTAAAAAGAAAATGCAATTTGTGATTATCCAATACTGACCTCTACAGGTGAAAAAAATTGCATTGCATAAGATGCAGGTATGCATAGTCGATAAAGTTGTTCATATAATTAAATGTATATGCACAGACAATATATAGAGATTCTATACTTTGCGTGTGATGTTTGTAAAAGGTGAACTAATCATTTTTAAATATTTGTTTAATAACCTGTGAATAAAACGAACACAAATTTTTACTTGTCAGAGTACTGTTTTATCAATTAAGTTATTTAAATATTATTAATCTTATTTATCTTTAAACCATAGACGAAATATAGAATAGACCTTTTACTTAATGTATTTTTTTGTCACACAATTTTGGTACTCTGGAGCACCATTATCATTTGTATTATTTCCAATGTAATTGATTCAACATGGAATAAGATTACAACACTAACAGTGATCAGAATTACAACTAAATATGTGAAACATGTTACACCTCAATTATGCTTATAACTTTATAATCGTAAGCATGGCGAGGAAAGGAATATTCTCGCAATGAATATTAAATTAAATATAAACACAGATTGTGGCATCAACTCAATTGTGTTTTTGCTTAATCGTCTGGTAAATTTACCAACTTCGATGGTTAAGTTGTATGTAATTCCTAAAGTCACCACTCTAAATCGTAGAGAGCGTAACGAAACCTCTGATTTTTTAATAGGTCGGTACTTCAGTTTGTGTGATATGAATATCTCGGCTGTGATACGAAGTCCCATAAGATGAAAGCTCTATTCTATACCTTGACTGTGTCTAAATTCTCCATCTGAACTAACTGGCACCTTCATTTTAAAAACTACAGTATGATTTACGCATACATAATTCTAACGTAATTTAAATCATTTTCTGTTCCCAATGGTCATGCAAAATTTGATCAACCATAGACGGCTGACTCAAAATATTGTAATAAATGACATGAAACATACTACATTATGGTACAAACGACTTTATTTACCAAAATTTTGTCCATTCAAGTTTATTTTTTGCGATAATTGCAATGAATCGCGATAATATAACTTTCCCAGTTAAAATTAGTTAAAAATCCGTAAAATGATGTAGGCGGACAGATAAACCACGAATTGAAGGAAAGTTCTAGAAAAAAAATATCGCTTAAAAGTGAGAGAAACTTAATTTTCCTTATCTGCTTGCGAAATATATACTTTTGAGATCATCAAAATAAACATAACGATCGTTGATAAGTGACATAACGAAGAATGTAAAGAATGTACTTATAATTAGCGTAAAAATACTTTTAATATTTCGTAATATAAACAATCACAAAGTATCGTGAACATAGATAATAGGCTGGATATAAAATATGTTGCAAAAGTTCTATTGTGAGACTATATAATATTAAGCGTATTACAAATATTAAAATTTAATAACTTTTTTTCCGAAAATAGAATTTTATTTATTCACAGTTTTGCTGCAAGAAATTGAATTCTCATCACTTACATATATCTCTTTAGTATATTTCAATAAATTTTAAATCTATTCTCCACTTATTTACAATTTGACATTTTCAATGAAATATACGATGACAAACTGTAAAATTAATTCTACCCGTGTGTAGAACGCTGATCCGTATGCCTACTCATGCTTCCTCCAAAATGAAAAATAATCACCAATTCAATAATCTTGTATTTGAGATCTGTTACCTTTCTATACACTCTTCTTTCTTTCATTTATAATCAAACTATCGCACCAAGAACCTTAAAGAAGAAACATCAATTTATTGCGCTGGTAATTCCAGATATCCCATTGTACACTTAAAAACATTCTATATTATTTACTTGCACAACCTATTAATAAATCATTTATATTGACTTTAAATTCATGCGTTGGCTGCGGAACGATTATAGACGTTGCACGCGCCGTTTCGTCGGCAGCCACACATGCGCGAGTATGCACTGAGATTAAGTGTGCAAGCCACGTGGAGGCATCGCAAATGACCCTGATTGGTTGCAGATCTTCGTGATCTTTGCCGTGGTGAGTGGCGGGGGGGAGCATTGTGACGGTCGAAAAAGGTCGGAGGACCAGAAGGGATGGGAAGATGAAGGACGCTCCTTTCAGCTGAGAAACCGATCGGGAGTGGGGAAGTTGGCTACACGTGCGACTTCCTTCCCCTTCTTTCTCTGACCTCCTCGTTCCGTCTTTTGCCTTCCAATTGTGCTGCTGTTCACTCTCTCTCGCTCCTAAACATGCCTTTCTGCACGCACTACCAAATCATTACGCGACCCTTATTTCACGCCTTCCTGGAAGACACCAGAAGACGTTTAAACGATTTCAATATTCTGCAATCTATACAAGAACAAAAAGAGGAAGCTTAAAGTATTATCGTTAATAATCAGAAGCGTTCATCTTAAGGCACTTCACTCGAAGTACATTTGGCCGTTCTGGTCGATGTTTTAGCACATACCAGGCATATACGTGCTATTATTTCTCATACCACTGAAAGCATGTAAATGTGTTCGTGTAAAAATTTCACTCAAAGTTGGTATCTAGATTTTGGGGAGATTTCGGCGATTTTTAATATAATCAGTTTTTGTATTTTCAATGATCTGGAAAATAATTGTACATATACACTTAAATGAAACATACAATCTTTCACTTTTTTCGCACAAAATATAAATACAGTAAGGAATTGAATTTCAAATATTTTTGTGCTAACATTTGAAAATATTGATCCCCTTATGAAGTGGATCGTACGTTTGGGAAATGAAGTGAAAGTATCGAGCGAAAAACGAGTTGAATGTCTGATGAGTCGAGTACAGCTGAAAATGAAGCGCATCATGTATGTACGTAGTTAAAACTAAATTGGCTCGACGAAGGGTTTCCGTACCTTCTCTTTGACCAGACGATGTCATAAAACTTCAACCGTTTAAATAACATGTTGAAATTTTTGTTGCATAATATAACGATATTTTTAAAATGTTATCGGTAAAATGAAG